TATTAACTGAAAAAGTTGATAAAAAAAAGAAAACAAAAAAAGTTAAAAGAGAAAAATTTAAAACTAATGAATTGAAAAGATTTATCGAAATGAAAGGAAGCTGGCAAGTGACTGAAGAAGTTAATCATCAAGCTCTTACTCGTGCTTTTCCTGAACAAAATGAATGTCTAGAATTTATACAAAAATTGAAAAAGTATTTTTTTATAAAAAATGAGATTTATTCTGAAATTGAAAGTAAACTACCAAAAAATAGAAAACATAAATTATATCCTGAGGTTCAAAATTTCAAAAAAGATAAATTTAATTGGCCAAAGAAAGGTGCTGTTATAGATTATCAAAAACTGTGTAAATCTGAAGAAGAGATTATTGAAGAATTTCAAGATGTCTCTGAAACTGAATCAGATTCAGAGGAATCTGATGATGAATAGAAATTTTTTTTTTTTTTATTTATTGTAATAATATATTATTTATTTTATATCTATAATCTATCTAGTCTTTAACTGACCTGATAGAATTTTATCTACGTAAAAAAAAAGATGAAATTTCTTCAAAACAATCTTAAATCTTTATCGAGGTCAGGTTTTATTACAAAAGATCAATATAATTTTCATATTGAATATTATAAGGATTTTGTTTATGTACGAAGAAGTTTGAGAAAACCAAGATATGATCCTATATACAATTTTTCTCAAAGAAAAAAAAATAATAACAAAAAAGAATTTAAACAAAACAAAAAAGAAATAATCATTGATTATCAAGAAAAAGATTTCTCAGAACTAAAAGAACAACAATCGAATAAAATTCCAATTCATCTTAGTGATGATGATGATGATTTACCTACAGCTGAAAATGCTTTTCGAATAGCTTTGGAACAAGAAAAAGAAAGACAAAACTTAGAAAAAAGAAAAAGAGATTCTGAATCTGAATCATTACATACTGAATCATCTTTGTCTACTCAATCATCTTATACTACAGATAATGGATTTGTTGTTAAAGATAATAATCCTTTTAGATATATAGTTAAACAGAATGCTGTAATTAATCAAATTGATAATTTAGTTTTTAGTGATGAAGAACTTCGTATGGATGATAGTAGTGATGATGTTGTAATTAATGTTATATCTAATCAGACACTTAATGTGCCCGATTAGAATTTTATTTACGTAATTTAAACAAAAAAAGATGGCTTTATATCAACAATATTCTGGTTTTAAAAAAAGTTTTGAACAATCAACAGAAGATGAAAAAAGATATAAAAAATATATCATCATGCTAAATGAAATGGCAAATGATGGGTTAATAGTTGGAGAAGTTCTAGATACCGTTGTTAAAAAATATAATGGATTTGTTAATGATAAAGTTTCTTTTGAAAGTTATATTAAAGCTTTTGAATTTAGAGAATATGCATTATGTGTATTATTTAACTCATCTAAAAATATATATATTTCATCACGTCATGAAATACCTGGTGCTGATTATAATGGAAAATACCAAGTTACTGGAGGTAAAGTAGATCCTATAGACAGAAAACAAAAAGATTATTTTCTTGAATGTGCAAAACGTGAAGCATTAGAAGAATCAGGAATTATTTTGAATCATGATAATTTGATTAAAGTTGCTATAGAGGAAAATTCTAGAATTTTTCCAAATAGAGAAACAGAAGACGTTTTCAGAACTGCTGTTTATATTGCTGATATTGGTGATGCTACTCCTCAATGTATGGAACCTGAAAAAAATAGTGAATAGTATTCTGTTGATTTCAATGAGATGAGAAGATTAAGAGATGAAGGACGTTTAACTCGGACGTTGGGAACAAAACTTGATGAGATAGTTGCTCATATCAATAATTATTTAAAAGCAAAGAAAAGACGTCTACCAAAGAAAAGAAAATTTATTGAAGAAAAAAATAATAATGAGAATAATTCTGAAAGTCCTAAAGAAACTGTAAACGAAGTTGTGGAAAACTGTGATGTGATGAACTGTGATGGTGAAAGTTGTGATGATATTAACAATAATAGTATTAATCACACAACTGTTACTACTGAAGAAGAAATCGAAGAGGAAATTCTTAATATAGTTCAATAATTTTATTTATTTTTTATTTTTTTTTTTTAATATATTTATAATAAACATAATCTGTTCAGTGAGTTAATCACCGAACAGAATTTTAACAATGTAATTTATAAAAAATGAATTTAGAAGAAGCAATTCACGATTCTATCTATTATCAAGATGATAATATTCTAAAAGAAGTTTTAGGATCAAGTTATGAAAAATTAGATGTAGAGTTTATTGAAAAAAGTAGTGATGTTTTTGATGAATACTTAATTGATACAGATTTTTTATCAGCAATAAATAATGAAAGTATGAGACGCTTCTTAGAAGAAAATAATAAATTAAATGAATATTTATACAAATATGAAGCAAAATACAAAAAAAATATTATCAACAAGAAGAAAGAAAGATTACAAGAACTAATTGAAGATAAGGAATTTGCTTCAATTAACGTAAATTTCTCAGAATATAATTCTACAATTATCACTATTGATAAGAAAAATCTCACAAATATGTTAGTGTTTAATGATGAAAAGAAAAGAAAATATTATTACAAAGTCGTCGCATTAAAAGAAAATGACAATATCTTTTTCTTTTAAGATTTTTTTTTATTTTTTAATAATGAATTATTTTATTTTATATTTAATTAAACGAACATAACCTGTTCAGTGAATCAAATCACCGAACAGGATTTTAATAATGTAAAAAAAATGTCTTCAAAAGAACTTGAACAAACAAATTATAATTTATATAAAATACTTTTTAATAATCAAGATAAAGTAGATGATGATACAATTATCAAGACAGTTATTGATTATATAAAATCAAAAAATCAAAAACAAGATGAAAATTTTCTTACAAGTCAAGATGAGCGAAAAAATATTCATTAAGCATTACAAGATTATATTTTTTATTACGATTTCAATACCTTAAAAGATATTGGGGAAGATATTCTTTCATTTAATGATGAAAATAGTGAAATTATCTCTGATGTAATAGAGATTAGTAATCAAGTTTTAAATGAATATCAGAGTGAGATTTATCCATCTGTAAATAATGAAGCATGGAGACGTTATTTAATTAAGAAAGGAAAATTAGATGATTATATAGTTAAATATAGCAAAAAATATTTTGATAAAGAAAATGAAAAGATTGATTTTGAAAATAAAAAAGAATTAGTTTAAATTATATATTATAATCTATTTAGTGAATAAATCACCAAATAGAATTTTAACAACGTAATCTTTATAATGGTTGAGACAAAGGTAAGATTTCTAATAATCTTACTTAGTACTAAGATTTTGTTAACGCTGTTATAGAATATTATTTCTTTTGATTCTGAATTTTGATATGTGAAATCGTTAGGATATCAGATCAGGATAAGAGTAGATATTTGAAAGTATGATATTTTTCTAATTTGGTGAAAAGATTCTATTTCAGTTGAAATGTGGTGATTTTCATAGCATTATACTGTTCTAGTAGAATCTTGTAGACGCTACCAAAAATATTGTTTCTCTTGATTCTGAATTTTGATATGTGAAATCGTTAGGATATCAGATCAGGATAAGAGTAGATATTTTA